AGGGAAGTGGGTGGGGTGGGGAAGGCAGAAGAAAAACGGAGCAATTGCAAATAATTGACTTTTTTTTTTTTCCTTTTCATGTGTCTTTTTTTAAAAAAAAACCTAGTTTTTATTTTTTAAAAAGAGAAGTAAAAGCTTTCCTGGATGCTTTGTACCAAAAAAGAAAAAAATGAAAAAAAAAAAAAAAAAGTCTCTGGCTTGAGGCTTGGGACTCGGTGAGCAGATGGGTTTGAGAGGTGGGCAGAGGGCTGTAAAATAGGTTGGTTTTAAAATAATATATATTATCTGTCTAAGAACCGTAAAAAGGGGGGAATCAATTACATCTCCCTATGATATACTCTTCACTTGCTAATAAAATGGGGACACTCTGTTAACCAGTTCTGTACTTGCTTTGTCTTATATATCCATACATTTAAAACATAAAAAAAAAAGACTACTTGAATTGTATTCTATTTCGTGGTTTGGAGGGGAGGGCTAGGGGCAGTCTTGAGAGGGGGAGGATTTTAATGTGTATTCCTTTTGTTTGTTATTACCTTGCAATGTTGAGCCATGAAGCCTTTGTTTAAAAAAAAATGGCACTGCAATACACGACAAAGAAATCCTTTATTTATTTTATTAAATATATATGGAAAAGAATGAAAATCGGTCCAAATTAAGGGGGGGGGAAGGGAAGTGGGTGGGGTGGGGAAGGCAGAAGAAAAACGGAGCAATTGCAAATAATTGACTTTTTTTTTTTTCCTTTTTTTGTGTCTTTTTTTAAAAAAAAACCTAGTTTTTATTTTTTAAAAAGAGAAGTAAAAGCTTTCCTGGATGCTTTGTACCAAAAAAGAAAAAAATGAAAAAAAAAAAAAAAAGAAAATCTGTTAAGCAAATAAATATCCATCCAGAATATGAAGCCTGAGTTTTTCTTTTACTTTTCATCTATTTTTGCTCCTGGGGTGAGAGTTGGGTGGGAAGGCGGCCACGCCAAGCGCCACTCTCTGTGGAGGAACACTGTGTTGCAGCTCCTCTTTTTGGGGCTCAGACCTGCAAGAGCGGGTGAGGTACCCTTAAACACAACCCTGAAACCTCAATCCTGTGGCAGATGCCCCCTGAACCTGCTGAGATAAATATGTGCCCGGTGATTCTTGGCGAGACTTGGGGGGTGTTTCCCAGCGGCCATGGGGGATTTGCTTAGCTTTTACCAGTTTGGGCTGTTCCCAGAGACCTGAAAGTTGGACAGGAGCTGAAGATGCGCCAAAGGGAAAAAAGGAGAAAAAAAAGTGTTGTATCTATGTTAGATTTCCTTGTAGATGGTGCTTCTCTGGTTTCTCGGGGTAGATATAGCCTCCCTTAAATTTTTAGGGGTCCCAGTGAGCTGGTTTTCATCACCGTCATGCACCAGTGCAAATTGGGAGGTAAAATACTGCGGCTCCAGTTTGGTAGTAGAGGCACTGCTGGGCAAAATGGTGCTCAAGCATCCCTAATCCCCCGGATCGGCTGGACACCGCACTCTCTGTGCAGTCCTTCTGGCGTGGCCAAGACCCCTGTCTCATTGTGGGGTGAAGGACTTGAGTTAGAACCTCGCTGAGCCCAACCTCCTGCCCCCGACAACTTGGGATGGAAAAGATTTTCCACCTCAAAAGTGGAGTTGCTGATTTAGGCACTTAAAAATACATGTTTTTAACCAGGTTCTTTTTAAATTTCACAGTAAGCAAAAAAAAATAATTAATTTTTTCTCAGAGAGATTTTCCTCTTGGGATTTTTGTTGTTGGTTGGGAGGGTTTTGGTACGGATGCAGGGCTGGCTGCTTCCTTTGGGCATGTACTTTGTTGCAGGTGGAGAAAGGATGTGTCTGCCTTACTGGCCCATCCCGCCACCCACCACAGACCTCTGGGTTTCTTTGCAGTAAAAGGTGTCCCTGTGAAGGGTGAGGGCTGACTTCATGACTTCTGGTGGCCACTGCTGGAAACTTTGCCCTGGGGGGGCTTTGGTCCCTTTCTGCTCTTTGCTGTGTAAACCATTATCATGGGGGACATTTAGAGATGATTAAAAAGGGAAACTTCAGCTAAATCTCTTGCCTGCAACCCCCAGGGAGCAAAGCAGTGATGCTGGAAGCACCGTAAGGATGCTGATTCCAAGCACAGCTCAGCTTTAACCCTCCTTTCTGCCTTACCCTGTCACGGGTCACCATGGGGCCAGACCAGAGCAGCTCATTTTTTTGGATACCAGGAGACTGTTCAAAATGTGCCATCCTGCCTTTTGGCTTGGCAAGGACTGCCTTCACTTGCAAGGAGGGACCCAAGCAGCCACCGGGACCTCTGAGCCTGGTCCTGGCCAGTGGGTGGGGGACTGCACGAAACTGGACCTTTGCTTCGGCTCAAGTTTCTTCTACTGCCTGCAAAGCCTCTTTGCAGGCCAGCAGATAAATCACTGGCTTGGCTTGGAAATCCCAGACTGCAGGCTTGAGAACAAACCCCAAGATGCTGTGTCTGCTCAGATGGATGGGCGGAATTCACTCCGGTTTTTGATGCGATGCCTCTACACAGCTCCAAGAGCTTAGCTGCTGGGTCGCAGAGGCATGGGAGGTTGCCACAGCGACTGGTGGTGGTCCCTGGGGAGGGAGAACTGGCAGGGCTGGGCACCCCATGCACCTCCACATCCAGTCCAGCTTGTCCAGGGACCTCCACCTGCTACTCTGCTGACAGGCAAGAGGGCGGGGAAGCAAAGGGACATTTCAGCAGAGAAGTCCAAAATGATGTCTAGTGCCTGAGGAAGGACCAGGAAAGCCATCCCCTTGTCCTAGCTTTTTTAACCCAGAAGGCAGCTGAGCTATTTTCCTTGCTTTCAGTGAGCAGCACTAGTGCTGTGGGGATGGACTGAGCCTCCAAACCGGTTCCTCTACCTCTGCATCTCATAGGAGCTTCATCCCTTTCATTCTGCCTGCTCTCAAATGTTTGGTCTTTTCGTGATGTACTCAGCTGCACTAAACGAAGGGAAGAGCCACATTTGTTGTTTTTTAAAATATACCTGATTTCCTTGTTGCATGTATTATTGCCCACTGATGT